CATGTGAGTCAAGTGCTCTACCACTGAGCTACAACCCCAGCTCTTTTTTTTTTTTAATTTTGAGACAGGTTCTCACTGAGTTTTTAGGGCCTCCATAAATTGCTGAGGCTGGCCTAGAACTTGCAATCCTCCTTCCTCAGTCTCCAGAGTTGCTGGGATTATAAGCATGCACTTTCACTCCCAATTTTCCCAAATATTTAAAACAAATATTTTAGTTGCTCACATTTTATAAACAGCCCCAATGGTAACAACTTAGCAGGAGAGGTCCAAGACTCTATTTAATTGAGTTGTGCTAGGATTTCTTCCCTGAATATAGCTTCCCATTCAAAATGTATAATCCTTAATTTTCTCTGTGACCCAAATACTACACAAAGCAACTCAAATTTTAGATTTAGCTACAAAAGTACAAGTGACTAAGATATTTATTTATGGGAATACTCCTCCATATCTTTTCATGACTTGATAACTCATTCATTTCTTTTCCTTTTTTGTTTTTCTCTGTGGTTCTAGAGATTGAAAGCAGGGAAGATCTACCACTGACCTATTATTTTAGCCCTTTTTATTTTTAATTTTTTCAAGGCTTTGACATATTATTACTCACTCACTCTTTGGCAGCGGCAGGTCAAGGTACAGTAGAAAGCTGCACTTTGCCTACAAGCAAGGGGAACGTATAGGATAAGTTTCGTGCCCACTGCACAGGTGAATTTCCTCAGATGTTTTATGAGTATATTACTTTGCTTTACAACTTACAGATCCTCAAGGGGCAGTGTCTCATGCCTGTAATCGCAGTGATCTGGGAGTCTGAGGCAGAAGGGCAGCAAGTTGAGGCCAGACTTAGCAACTTGGCGAGGCCCTAGGAAACTTAGCAAGACCCTGTCTCAAAATTTAAAAAATAAAATAAAAAGGGCTGGGGATGTAGCTCAGTAGTAAAGTGTCCCTGGATTACAGGTCCTGGAACCTGCGTTCCCTCCCCCCCAATTATTCCTTTAGTTAGGAAGTCATATAAAAATTATGTACAAAGTAATTTCAGGTTTTTCTCAAAATGTTTGTATGCATACTTTTTGCCCTTTTGTACTGATATTTAGATATTTAAAGGTTGTTATACTACCATTATCTAAAGTCAACATCCAGTTGATGTTCCTGCATCAAAGACAGTGAAACCTCATGATCAAATGTACTTCTTGAAGTACTTCCAAAAAGTGGATAGGTGGCTCATTTATGTGTGTGCTGGGGATCAAAAGAAGAGCTTGGCACATGCCAAGCATGTGTCCTACCATTCAGTTATATCCCAGGAACAAAACTGGATGTGATGGCTAATTTTGTGTGTCAACCTGACTGGGAAATGGGGTGCTCAGATATTTTGTCAAGTGTTATTCTGCGTGTGTCTGTGAGGCTGTTTCTGGATGAGATTGACAATTGAATCATTTGGTAAACTGAACAAAGCACCCGGGTGTGGCTGGCCTCATTCAGTTAATGAAGGCCTGGCACTGGGAGGTAGCTCAGTGCTAGAGCACATATTTAGCACATGCAAGAACCTAGGATTGATCCTTGCAACACACATATACACATACAACCAATGAATGCCTGAATAGAGCAAAAAACCTGAGTAAGAACTCCCTCTGTCTGCCTGTCTTTGAGCTGAGACACTGGTCTTATCCTATAGTTGAACTCAGATTTGGACTCAGAACGGAATGATACCATTGGCTTTCTAGCTTGCTAACTCAAGACCTTGGGGTTTCTCAGCCTTCATAATCACATGAGCCAATTCCTTATAATACATTTGGTGAGTGGGTGGGTGGGTGCCAAATCAAGTGCAAGGTTTTCTGGGGAATACAGAAATAATATTGTTGTCTTTGATGACTTCAGCCAGCCAGCTCAAGGGCAGACTGCCTAGACTGATCGCTTTGCAACCTACCAGTTAGTTCATTTGCTTCCTGAAAAATGCACATGATTCACCATGGCGTCTCAACATCCCACCTATCCACCTCTTTTTATAAATTTACCTTTTAAATTTCTTTTATTTTTTTACATGTCTTGACATTCACCTATTGACTCTTCTTCATATGAGTAAATAAATAGTTTACATATAATTTACTGCCTCCATGTTATTCTTTGACAAAAGTGAGTATATATAAAAAGAAGTTGCCAAAAGGCTAAAACTTGGGGCATTCAATTTTTTGGGGGTACTGGGAATTGAACTCAGGGACACTTTGCCACTGAACTACATCCCCAGCCCTTTTTATTTATTTATTTTTTTATTTAACTTGCCAAGGCTGGTTTTGAATTTGCAATCCTCCTGCCTCAGCCTCCCAAATTGCTGGGATTACAGGTGTGTGCCACCATGCTTGGCCTTCATTGCTTTCTCTCTATGTACAGAATAAATATTTGTCTCCACTTTTTAATGTAGAAGACCCCAGAATAATAAGTACTGTTCTCTGTTTTGTTTTGCTAAATAATATAAGTATGCAAGAATACTTATAAATAAACTTTGGAAAAGGACTTGCTGAATATGTATTTTTGCAACATTGATACATTGATAGATGGTTCTCAATGGCCACTCATAATATGAGTTGAATCAATTTGCACTTCTACAAACCAAGACCCTCCTCCGATCTCGTGTGATCAAACTTTAGGATTTTTTTTTCCATATTGGGGATTGAACCCAGGGGTGCTTTACCACTGAGCCACATCCCTAGTCCTTTTTATTTTTTATTTTGAGACAAGGTCTCGCTAAATTGCTTAGAGCCTCACTAAGTTGTTGAGGCTGGCTTTGCATTTGTGAGCTTCCTGCCTCAGCCTCCCAAGCTGCTGGGATTACAGGCATGTGCCACTGCTCCTGGCCTCAAACTTTTGGATTTTTAATAACTGAAAAAGTAGAAAATAGTATCTTAGAGTATAAGTCCTTTTTTTTTTTTTTTTTTTTGTACTGGTGGGGATTGAACCCAGGGGTTCTTTACCACTGAGCTGCATTTGTTTCCC